GTCCTCAGCATAGCTGAGATCCATGGGCACAGACCCGCTCGACGAGCTGTTGGAGTGTTCATTCCAACCAATTCGTGCCGACTTGAAATTGAATTCGACATTCAATGCTGTATTTACCGCCTCTTCAAATGATGACGGATGCACACGGAAGACTTTCATTCTGGCGACGCCAGTGCGGAGGCCTTCCATAAAGACGGTCACTGTGAGCGCCTCCGGGAGGGGATCTGCTGCCATCCCGGCAATGAGAGTGCGCATCTCTTGGACAAGTTCGCCAATTCCTTGTTGCCCTGTCGGGCGGCAAGGAAACGCGATCGCACGCGATATGCTTGATTAGCCGGCGAGAATACTCGTGAGAGCCGTAATTTCAGCTCCGACCAGGAGGGAAACGCAGCTTCGACCGAAGTGCCGCACATGTGCCCATTCTAGCGCTCGACCACCGAGCTTTGAGATGGCTAACGCCACGCGCTGTTGCTCGGTCTGGAGCATGGCGGATGTGATGGTTAAATTGAACTCTCTCATCCAGAGCAGGAGATTCTCTCCATCCTTCCCCTAGAAGACCTTTACGCTCACCATGAGCGGCTTAGGGCGGGGAAAATCATCCGTCACTGACGGTGGCGTCATAGGCGCAAATGATGCAGACATCCTCTGCTCTAGGTGCTCAAGCATCGCGTTTTCGTAATCTGAAAACGCCTCTAGACGCCCCGATTGCCTCGGGAGCTTGCGCAGCAAGGTGTTGCACGCCCTCAAGGTCAAGCAAGGACATCAGTTTCGTAAGGTCCGTCTTGCATGCCCTGGGGCAAAGAGGAAAATTATTGCATCCTCGCTGAGGATCAGTCTAAATGACTCAGGTGTAGATTGACTACAAGTGCTACCAAGTGCAGCGGGGCTGCTGCAGCTTTGCGCTTTTAGGACGCGTAAGTTAGGTCACCGACCTTTCGTTCTATTCTTAGAACAAGTACGAGTTTAGCGGGTCGCAATCCGCTTACTGCAAGAGTAATTACAACCTTAACCAAAGGCAAATTAGCTCTTCCGCTTGAAAACCGTATTCATTTGTTTTTATTTGCGGCAAAGCCGCCTAATTTTGAATGTATGGGTTTTCCTAAATATGTATAATAAAATCTAAATACATGCATAACTACTGGCTACC